AAAATCTGTGCATGTCAGGTGATGGGGATGATGTGTTAGAAATATGGAAGATCCTGAGGTGCGTCCTGGCACCTGGGATGTGAGCATACATGGTACTAAATAGTTGTCACAGGTGATATGGTTCTTCCTGATGTTTTCCTTTTATATGGTGTATTAGAAAATTTTTACAAACTCTGACTTAAGATAAAACCCAATTCTTAACCGTGTCCCCAAGGTCTGGCACTGGAGGTCCACGACTCCTTCTCTATCTCATTTTGCACTACCCGCCCTGGACTTAATGTGCTCCAGTTTCACAAGCCGTATCTCATAACTGCCCCCCCCCCAATCTGCCGTGCTCCTTGCTCATGCAGGGTCTTGGTCTGTGTTCTTTCTTAGCACTTTTTAACAGTTCACAAACCATACAATTCACCCATTTAAAGTGTACAATCATGTCAGTATATTCACATTTTAGTATAGTCACTGGATTGTGCATACATTGCCACAATCAATTTTAGAATATTTTCATTACTCCAAAAAGGAACCATACATCACTTAGCAATCATCTCAAATCTCCCCACTACTCTATGGCTTTGCTTATTCTGGGCATTTCATATAAGTGGAATCATGTAATTTGTGGTCCTTTGTGATTGGCTTCTTTCAATTATGTTTTAAGGGTTCATCCATACGGTACTATATGAATCAATACTTCATTCTTTTTTATTGTTGACTAATACTCCCTTATATGGCTAGCTGTATCACACTCTATGGATCTATTCATCGGTTGAAGGACACTTGGGTTGTTTCTACCTTTTTGCTATTGTAAATAATGCTACTATGAACATTCATGGACAAACTTGGATGTGGACATATGTTTTCATTTCACTTGGGTATATATGTAGGAGTGGTGTTGCTGGTTCATAGGGTAACCCTATGCTTAATGTTTGATGAACTGACAGATTGTTTTCCAAGGTAGCTATACTGTTTAAGAGTCCCACCAGCTGTGTATGAGAGTTGTAATTCCTCTACATTCTTGATAACTCTTGTTATTACTTGTCTTTTTTTTAATATAGCCATGCTGTTGTGTGTGAAGTGATAGCTTATTGTGCTTTTGTTCCTACCTTTTAAGCTAGGTGATTTCTACTCTTGTAAGCTGTAGCTTAAAATTGACTTTCATTGATAATCTTACATTGACCACCTCCCCCTAAATTAGTTTAATACTCCTCTCAAAAATATTCCACCTCTCCCCCCTAAACTCTAAGTTCTACATAGGAAGGGACTGTCCTATCTCTACTTTGTCCCTTCTCTGTCTCTAGCATCTAGCCATTGTGTGATCTGTATTGGGTGCTGTTAAAAATAAGTTAAATGAGTGACACATTTTAAAAAATCACAAAAATGTATACTTTATCTGAGCATCACCTATATCAGAATAATTAGCATGATGAGTTTTTAAATCTATTTTCTCAGCAGTCCCACGGACTACACTGTTGAAAACCAAAAACCAAACTCACTGCTGTCAAGTTGGATCTGACTCATAGTGACTCCTCCTTGGGTTTCCAAGGTGATATCACTACAGGAGTAGATTGCCCAATCTTCCTTCCAAGGAGTGGCTGGTGGGTTTGAACTGCCAGCCTTCTGGTTAGCAGTCAAATGCCTTAGGCACTATGCCACCAGAGCTCCCACACTGTTGAGAAACATATTTTAATGTCTCTGGCAAAGGAAGAAAGGGGCTCTATAATTTAACCATGACCAATGCTTCTATTTTCATAAATTTTATTTAGGTTGTATACTTTTCTAGATGGAATTTTGTCCCCAGAAGTATATGTTGTAAATCCTAACTTCTATACCTGTGGGGAAATCTACTTCCTTAGTGATACTGCCTCAGAAACCCAAGGAGGGGTCGCTATGGGTCAGATCTGACTCCACGGCACAAAACAACAACAACAACATACCTGTGGGAATGGGTTGTCTTTGTTATATTAATGAAACAGGATTAGTGTAGGGTGTGTCATAAATCATTCACTTTTGAGATATAAAAGAGATGAAACACGCAAACAAGAGAAGCAGAAATATGGGAAGTACATGCCAAGCCATGTGAAGATTGCCCAGGAGCAGAAACTAAAAGAGACTAGACCCTTCCTCCAGAACTAACAGAGAGAAAAAGCCTTCCCCTAGAGCTAGCATCCTGAATTCATGCTTCTAGCCTCCTCAGCTCTGAGAGTATATGCACCAGTCTCTCATAATTGTTTAGCCAATGTGACTTGTGCTTATTTGAAATACATGATTCCCTTGGTATGTGATAGACTCTGCTGTTTAACTTGAATTTGGAGATCTACACCTTTTCCTTCCTCCCTTCCTCCTTCCCTCCTTCCCTTCTTCCTCCTTCTCTACTCTTCCTCATTTTTTCTTTTTTTCCTCTCTCTCCTCTTACTCTTTTGTGAGTGAGGCTCAGTATCCGCAAGCAAAACCAAATGGACTATGTAAACTGTTCTCTTTCAGGTGAGATAATAAAAAAAAAAAAAAAAGAAAGAATGTGTTGTTGACAAGGAACTTAGGGAGAATGGGCTTTTCCTCTTTCGGTACCAATGAGGCCACACCCCTAGGGAGTTTAATTAGTAGGTCCATAATAAAAACAAGAACAATTAGTTGCCAAAGAGTGGATTCTGATTCGCTGTGGTCCCACGTGTGCTCCATATGGTTTTCAGTGATTGAGTTTCCAAAGGATAGCTCCATCCCTTTATTCTGAGGTGCCTTCAGATGCACTCTAACCTCCAACCTTTTGATTAGCAGTCAAACGTACTAACCATTTGCACCACCCAGGGATTCTAAGTCCAGGAAAGGGCCCTAGAGTAGCCTCTTTAAAAAAATCAAGGTCCCCAATGATTATGGAGAGCTCTGGTGCCATAGTACCTAAGGCATTTGACTACTAACCAGAAGGCTGGTGGTTTAAACCCACCAGCCACTCCTTGGAAAGAAGGTTGGGCAATCTACTTCTGTAGTGATACTGCCTCAGAAACCCAAGAAGGGGTCGCTATGAGTCAGAAACGACTCAACAGCAGTGAGTTTATCTGTTTGAGTGATTGTGATGCCAGGCATCCATGGGCTTCACTTTGAAAAACATTCATCCTGGTTAATATTCTCATTGTGTAATAAGAGCAGGTCGATGTACATGTTTAAAAAATAAATTAGACCCCGGCATCAGGTGAGGAATTAAATCCATGGCCCAGTATTTACTAGTTATGTGGTTTAAGACAAATTAATCTTTCTAAACTCTGTGTCCTGTGAAGGGAGGGGGCAATCAAAATACCTATGTCATATTATGTCTTGAGCAGTACATTCAATAATGCACATAAAACACTTAACACAAAGTCTGACACACAAATTCTCCTCGGAAGGAAGATGGGGCAATCTACTTCCGTAGTGATACTGCCTCGGAAACCCAAGGAGGGGTCGCTATGAGTCAGATCCAACTCGACGGCACATAAGAACACAACAACAACAAACTCTGTGTCCTCATCTGTGAAGGGAGGGGGCAATGAAATCCTATGTCATACTGTGTCTTGAGCAATACATTCAATAGTGCACATAAAACACTTAACACAAAGTCTGACACAAAAGAAATGCTCCTATATGTCAGTTGCTACTATTTTTTGTTGTTTTATCATTGCTGTTATTATTTTAATTCCAAGAAGGTGTGTACAATGAATCTTTTTTAAAGGAATCCAGTTTTCCTTAGTAAGTAAATGACTTCCTGTGCAAAATTTGGAAATTTACAAGGTTCATCAATGGTTGTAAAATCATTGTTATTTTTGTAGATAGTTTTCTAAGTGGTTCTTTATTGACATGAATAGGTCTCAAGTCTGTTTTCAAGTGATTCCTTAACCTTCAAGGAACAACATAGTCATTTCTGAAGAAGAAAACTTTGGTTAGCATATTAAATTACGCTTCACTCCTTAGTTCTACTTCACATTAGTTACTGTTATGATTATAACACATCTTCCTTAAGTGTCATCTACTGAGCAGACAATATTGCCTAAACATCATCTTTTTGTCTATCAAACAATATAATTCGCCAGGTTGCTGCCCTTGTAGACCTTACTCTATAAGAGAGAAGTTCCAAAGCTCAATCAAATGCGGACCTACCACTCATCTTGGAGAATCAGGAATGTTAATCCATGTATTCAAATACTATATACTGAGTACATAACAAGTGTCAGGCATTCAGGATACATAGAAAGAAAGCCAAGGTCCCACAAGGATGAAGAGTTCATTACTAAAGGTGTAGTATGGAAAGGGGGTCAGGCGGGGAGTCATCTAATACATTACCAAGACTCTTTGGGCTGGTGGTGAGTGCTGTGAATGACATTAAAGAGAATGATATGATAGAAAATGTCTAAAAGAAAGTAGCTACTTTAGATTAATAGCCAAGAAATGTCTCCCCCAAGAGATGACAATTGAGGGGACAATTGGATGTGAAGAAGGAGCTAACCATGGAAGGTATCAGAGGGTGGAGTGATTGAGGAAGAGGGAACAAACAGTCAGTGACAAGACCCTAAGGCAGGACTATGTTTGGCATAAGTAAGAAACAGGATGTAGGCCAACATGGTTGGAATGAGGTGATGGAAGTGAGAGTGATAAGGGAAGAGGCTGGAGATAGAGATAGGGGCATATGAGTAAGGCCTCGTCTCTCATGTTAAGGAACTGGTGGAGTTTTATTCCAAGCACAATGTGATTTAAGCATACTGTGCTCTAATTTATAATCATTTCATGTTCTCTTTTCTTCCCCTATCCCTTTTTTTCAGTGTCTAGCTATTATGTAACCCAACTGAATAATATTTGACTACAATATTTATTTCCATATATGTAGCTATAATCTCTATAAGGTTTTTAATGAAGTTGTCACTTAGTCATGCCATAAAACCCCCAAATCACATCTCACTTTGCTTTAGAAGATGTAGACAGATGGCATCGAATTTCTTCTCGATAGCATAGTAAAGAATGTCTTCTGAAATATTTGGATTTAGGTTGCACCAGGTGACTTTTGAAGTGCCTACCTGCGAGGGAAAGGAACGGCAGAAGCTGGCCTTGATTGGTGACTTCTCATCTTCAGCAGAATTCTTCGTCACTGTTGCCGTCTTCGCCTTCCTCTACTCCTTGGCCGCCACTGTCGTTTACATTTTCTTCCAGAACAAGTACCGGGAGAACAACCGGGGCCCACTCATCGTAAGTGGCTTTCTTTTGAAATAACTATTTCTATCCCTTTTCATTTCTTTCCTTAATGCTCGAAGGGCTTTGGAGTTAAGTGAGCCCTTAGGCTGGTATTTTAAAGGTAATCAAATTGTTTTTCATCTAAATCTCTTGGATCTATAACAAAAACGTGATGTCTGTCATTCTTGTGCCACTGTGTTGGAAAAGTATCACAAGACTCACTGGAAAGTCTCTAAACTAAATGACTGGGAATCACATGAGATCAAGGAAAGAGTAGTGAAGTTTTCTGCAGATTGGTTTAGTTTAGCATCATGGAGGTGGTCAACCATTTTTCTCATTAGTTACTTAGCTAATGTGATTTGTGCTTATTTGAAATACATGATTCCCTTGGTATGTGATAGACTGGGCTGTTTAGTTTGAAGGTGGAGATCTATACCTTTTCCTTCCTTCCTGCCTCCTTCTCTCCCTTCCTTCTTCCTCCTTCTCTTCTCCTTTTTATTTTTTCTTTTCCCTCTCTCCTCTTAGACTTTTTTTCCTCTTATATAGTGTTTCAGGTTATGTCATGGGTGAAACCTATATAGCCCAGCATATCCTAACATGGACATGTATATACACCTGTTGATGTTAGTTGCCATCGAGTTGATTCTGAGTCATGGAAACTTACCAAAAAAAAACCAAAGTCAGTGCTATCAAGTTGATTCTAACTCATAGTGACCCCCACTGGGTTTCAGGACTATAAATCTTTATGGAAGCAGACTGCCCCATCTTTCTTCTGCAGAGCAGCTGGGAGATTCAAACTACTGACCTTTTGGTTAGCATCCAAATGCCTTAACCACTATACCACCCAAGCTCCTTCTTGGTGACTTAGGGGTTCCTAAAGTTCTCCAAGAGGTACATGGCCATGGATAATTTTAAGGAAATAAATTGAAAATTTCTCACCCTTCATGTGTACATTTGCCTAAAATTTATCTTCCTGTAAATATCTTGCTGGTTTTTTTTCTTAATTACCTATTCCCACTGTACAAATAAAAAATCTTTTTTAGGTGGGGACCAGGTTTGCTGGTCCGATAGAGCCTGGTGGAACCACTGAGACTATGGCCCCTAGTTGCCCTTCAGGTCTGGAATTGAACCTACACCTGTGGTTTCCAGCCAAACAAAAGACAGGCATATGAGTTGAACATTTACCTCAAGTAGATAGACTCCTTGGAGAGAACAATCATGGGAGAAAGAAGGGCTTCTTATGCACAGGGAGAGAGCTCAGGGGGCAGGAATGTAGGGAGGGATGGACACTGGGAAGAGGTAACTATGGGGAGGAAGTGGGAGGGGAGCTGTTGCATTGTGGTAAACTGTGGTCAATGACATGAGACAAAGTATATGTAAACTGCTGTGTGGAGAGTGAATTTGCTCTGT